AAAATTAAATCATATTTCAATTTTAAAACAAGGAAAAAAAGTTCTGCTTTCAATTTAAACAAAGATGCGTTGCGTTAAAAAACGTATTGCAAACGCAAACGCTCAATTTCTGCGCATTATTATCTCCAAATTTTAAAAAACATTATTACCATATATATATTATTTTATTCTTTCTACGCAAAAATTCTCTATCTTTTTTTTTCTTACTCGCAGTTATCACAATACAATCTTAAGTTTATTCATTCTTACGGGCCTTTATAAATATTTATTCATAGTTTACCGGTATATTACAAATAATGATTATTAATACTAAAAAATATATGCTCTTACACGATTCTTTAATACTTTCAATATATATATTAATTAAACTTACCTTAAATCATTTTATAATTTATTTTTTTTTTAAACTTAAATGAAAACTCTTACTTCTTCCTCCAGTTTACATGACTTATAAACCTCCAAAATTATACTCTCCTTCTACATTGCCCCAAAAAACAAATATATATATGATAGAAGTTTTTGAATATATAATTTTATTTTCTATTATTACGAGTCTCAGAACTCGTTGTTTCAAAAAAAAATACTCTTCAAATAAAATATAAGCGATATAACATTTCATAAACTAAGATACATATTTGCGAATACATTTAATTAATTTACGAAAGTATATATTTATATAAAGATTTAAAACTTCTTAATTAAAAAAAATCATGAAAAGGAAAAAGTTCCATACTTAGTCCATATTAAGGAGAGGAACCCTTTGATTTTGAAATGACTACTCTTCAAATAAAATATGAGCGATATAACATTTCATACACTAAGATACATATTTGCGAATAAGATAACATTTAATTAATTTATTAAAGTATAAATTTATATAAAGATTTAAAACTTCTTAATTAAAAAAAATCATGGAAAGAAAAAAGTTCCATACTTTAATTTCCGATTCCCACTACTCAAACCATATTTAGTCATCCCCAGCCTAAACCTCCCATATCACACGCTGGTACACACTAGGATACTCAGCCAGCTCCCATAGCACATTGAGCCTTTTCTCAACATCCCCCCCCATCTACATTGGAAATTTTCCCCAACAAACCCCCCATATCCCACATCATAGGTCTCCTCAACCGGCTTCATAAACACTCTCCCGCCCCTTATAGTGTTTTGCTTACCAGGGCAAAATCTCAAAGTATGACCACTGTCGCCACACTCAAAACATTTAAATCCCTACAGTCAACGGCGCTGTTCCCTCTTACCCCACTTCTATAACACAGCATTTTTCTATTCCTCAACCTATCCGCAGCAAACGACCGTGTCTCTCCATGCCCTCGATATATAGCCATTCTTCCCTCCTCACTTTTCTTTCTTTCCTCACCCATTCGCAAGTCTTCTTTACTTCTCCACCCCTGCATTAACTCCTTTACTGGTAACCAGGTTACTCTTCCAAACCTATCTTCCTCCCCGCAGTGTCCTTCAATCAACAACGTCTGCCTTCGTATTCTATGCTCCTATTTCGGGGCTCTCTCCTACCGAAATATAAACTTCCCAACCAAATCAGCAATATCACCACTGCCTCCAGTATATTATAGTGTACCTCAGCATATTTAGTTCCTTTAAAATTCTTAACTAACAAAATAAATTAAATTAAATAATTGAAAAATTTTTTTTACATAAATTAATTGAATCCATACCAAATATTTTTTAAAAAAAACAATTTATTTAGAATAATATTTATAAAAAATTATTAATTAACTTAAATAAAAATATTTTAACTATTTGCAAAGTTAAACAATGATATAATTGATAAAATCAACGCTAAAACGACACAACAGTACATAAAACCTTTTTATCAACTTTTAAACAACACTTTAACTCACTTCACAATTTTTCACTATACAATCATCCGGTACTTCACACTATCTCCCCCCCCCTCAAATTACACCACAGAACCCCTGTGCCTTTAACAATTATTCAATTTAATACCACGCGACCAGACTAGCCCACTGTGCCCGTAAGAAACGTTAAGTTTTTTTTGTCTTGGTAAATACAAATATAAGAATAAAATTTACCTTGTTAGGTCACATCATATTGGCTGTCTATCCCCAAATTTCTTTATTAAATTAAAATGGAATTGTCCGCAAACTGAATATTAATATAAAATGAAGTAAAATAAATAATATATTGCCTCAAAAACGACTTTATATTCTACAAAAAAATAATAAATAATTCTTTAAAATAAAATAATATAGGACTCATCCTGAGTCTTACAAATGATACAATTCAAAGTCAAATGCTTGCGCCGTTGTTACATGGCCAAATTATTACGCGTAAAAATCTATAATAAAGATAAAAATATATACAACAAAACAGGGGCGTCGCTAGCCTTTACAATCTCAGGGGGCTCAACTAAAAAAAATTTCTACCCCGGGTTTCGGCCGGGTTTTATATTAATATATTATACTTTTTAAAAATTTGCTAACTCTGAATAATTATTCCGAATTTGATATTTTGTCATTGATTATATTATGCATACAAAATAAACTAGCATATTAATAATTAAAACAATATAAGATATTTCTAAAAATAATATTTTTTAATAAAAAATCTATTTATTACAGTATATAATATTTTCGATTTCTGATATAAATTTTGCGTCTAAAGAATTACAAGGGATAAAAAAGGTTAATTAATTCATACATATGCCTCAATTGATAATGGGTTTTAAAAACTACATATTATAAAATTAGCAACTTACATTGACAAAAGGTGAAGAAACTAATCTCTGTTACCATTTTTATACAATGTTTTATAGAATGGACTAATGAGGAAAAATTTTATAGGTCCAACCAAATCAATAATTCTCGAGAAGAGAATATAAACGACCATTCCAAATCTTAAAACTTATGGTGGTTAGAGCTTCCTCTTAAATAACATGATGGAAGCTAGATAAGTAATTGAGAAAAAAATGAGATATTAAATTTCTAATAGATTATCTTCCATTTTTAATGATATATAAACAACTACACAGTTGACCATTATTGCTTATAAAATATGCAATCATTGGCTCTCAGCAGCTGTAATAATAATTTTAAACTACATAGCCACACAAATAATAGATGCTGGTTAATTTGCATTCATAGCCATGACACTCACTATATTAACTTATATCAGAATTTATTATGCTAGATAAATTGATAAAACAAAAACACTAAAAATCATTAGAAGAAATTATGCAAATGTATTGAAGCCTTAAGTAATTTACAAGGCAGGAAGGGATGCCATATTAGAAATGAAACATTTTGCAACTATAAAATAAGAACCAGAGTGATATGATATGATAAAAGAAAATAATTAAGATATATATATTATTGTTCGCACCACCTCTAGTTGGTATATTATATCTTAAAATAGTAGTAGTTATAATAATATCAAAAATATACTAGTATTAAAAATTTAACTCAAAACTGTTTTTCAAATAAGAAAAAATAGCTTTCCTAAAAACACGTAAAAAAGAGAAGAAAAGTTATCTAATTTATTACATCCATTCTGGGATAAATAATATGTTAAATTTTTAAAAATATTTCTAATAAATAGAGGGCGTTAAATAATTACAAGCAATCTATTACTTATATTTATTATCAAAAGTATTTATTCGTAAAATTTATTAAATATTAACTGTAATATATTATATAACTGTCAAATACGTCTGTAAAAGTGGTATTTAACATAATCTTTTATAAACAATTATATCTAATAGAGGATATTAAACTATTTGTTTACTTACTTTTTATAAATAAATCTTTTATACTTATTTGGATTTGGACCTTGAAAATAATTTTAAGAAGAGGCATGGTAATTAAATTTAAATATCAATAATATAGTTGATTAATGATTTTGAACTCGGCTAATTACAATATTAAATTTGTTAATTTTCAATTAATATTTATTTAATTAGGGTTATATAATAATTTAAATATTAAAAGTCAATAAAGCTTCAACTGTTAATGCTAAGTTAATATTTAGTGAGTAATATTATATCCTATTTATTTGATTGCAAGCTGACATAGTGAAAATTTAATTTATAAGTATTAATCTAATCTAAAAGCGTATTCAATTAAGAATAATTTAGACAGACTTATTAATTTTTAAATTATAAAATTAAATATATATATTACTCAATAGAATTATAAAAGAAATCGTTCAGTGGGCAATCAATATTTTTAATGCAAGGGGATATAAGGAGCCATTAAAAAAAAAATTTTGCTTCAGGAGGCTATTCAAATTTTTCAGGTGGCTCGAGCCCCTGCCCCCCCCCCCCTAGCGATGCCACTGCAACAAAATAAAGAAAAACAACCCCAATTATAACATTTTTATAGTAAGATGAATTTAGATTATCGACATGTAGTATTTTTAATTTGTAGAAATAAAAGAGAAGAAAATAACAGTGATAGAATCAAAAAAATTAAAAACATTAAAGTAAAGATTGGCAATAAAATAAATATTGGATAAAGTTATAATTTGTTATAGTGATAGCATTTGTGTTTTGTTTATTTTAAGAAAAATTAACTTTTTTGATAATTTAAAATTTTCAAAAAGTGAGACCTATGAAATTGAAAATAGCAATACTACTACCCTATCTCTAGCCTATCTACTTTGGTCTATCCTTTAAACTCCTAAAAAAACATGAAGGCAAATTTTACTACTCTTCATCTCACGTAGTCATTGACTTTAATTTTTTAGTCGCGACCAAATTGCAAAGCAATACAGAATTTTTCGATAAAGATTTACGTTTGGAAGCCGTCCTTTAACAATTTCCACAAATAATACACAATTGCCATCCACATCGTCTATTGAACTGGTATTGGGTATTTTGATTAAACTCGAATCTTTCGATAAAAGTAAAAATGCCATGTTAGTAATTGGCAACATTGATTGCTAATAAAATGTCCATGTCTATTATGTGACGTTTTTCCAAATGTCATTGAAGAAAAAAATGTATCAAATCTAATATATAAGATATGTTATTAAATACCATAACAAACGAAAATTTATCCAATTCCTTGAACATTGGAATAAATAAAATAGAAGCTCATAATATCACTATATTGCATATAATACAAGTTAAATTTTTCAAAAACTTTACAATGATTTTTTTAGGCATATTTATGCCAAAGATATTACATTCGTAACAACTCAAAATATATAAGAGCAAAAATATGTATACTGATATTAAAATTAATCAAGGTACCATCTAATATTATCATTATTATTAAATCACAATATAGAATAAATATAGATTACCGCAAATTTATAAACTCATTAAAGTTGTGTCAGAATCATTATTGAAACAATTTGATATGATTATATTTGATTGTCTTAAACTAACATCCAATAAATTGCAAGAACTATTTTTGCAAGTTGAAAAATCATATATAAACTTAAAGATGCTTTTACCAAAATCCAGTTATATTAGTAATATATAATTTACTTGTTAAATAATAAGTAAATAATAGGCATATACGTTAGGAATATTTTAACTAAATATGAAAAATATAATTATCAGGATACTTGTGAATTAATAACTAGTATCAAACATTTTTATCAAGATTCTGAAAATAAACTGCCATATATAATAAATAATTCAAAGTTTATAAATAATTTGTTTTTAAATATATTGATAAGGTTATTCCATGTCAAATGAATAAATAATTATTAATGAGTTAAGTAACAAATGGAGTAATTATTGATCATAAATTACATTTTTTATTAGATAATAATTATTAATTATAACTGATGTTCTATATTATATTATGTATTTTAGAAAGTAATATTCTAAAATATTAAATATCAATTTGGTACAAGCTAAAATTTTCTTTTAGAATTAATTAGGATATATATAATGGCTGCAAATTTTTATCAAATATCTGTTAAGTATTTGGTTTGACATGGAATGACCCAAATGTTAAATGCACATAAATTATAGAAATATAACATTTTATAGTTGCAGAGTAGTTTATCAGTAGATAATTTTTTTATAATAATCACCTGAAGAAAATTAATTAAAGATTATTAAAAAGATTGGCTATGCATTACCTATTATGTTGCAAATGATAATAACATGTTTATAATTGACTAGACCAGTCTTCTGAGGTAGAGGTCCACGATGGGCAGGAATATAAATACCGGGAATGACTAAAATACGCGTCCCCGAAAATAACGCGTACCTACGCGTCCCTGGTCAAAACGAAGAAAATGTTTTTTTTTAATTTAAAAAAAATACGGTAACTATATAAAATTTATAAAAATTTATTTTTTTAAAAAATAAACTACGCGTCCCTACGCGGTCAAAATACAGTTTTTTTTAAAAAATAAAAGCAGATTCATATTTAACTCATTAAAAGAATACAGAATATGTAAATATTATATATTAAAGTATTTAATAACTTAGTGAAAAACACTTTTTTTCGAAAACACTACGCGTCCCCGGTCAAAAAACCGTTTTTTTTTAAAAATAAAAGCAGATTCATGTTTAGCTTCTCAAGGAGATTCAGAAAATGATATTAATAAAAAAAAATTTTTTCGAAAAAATTTTTTTTTTGACTATACTACGCCTCCCCGATCAAAATACATTTTTTAAAAAAAAACAAAAGCAGATTCATATTAAGCTCATTAAAAGTATTCAGAATATGTTAATATTGTATTTAAAAATATTTTATAAATTAGTGGGCTTTTGAAAAATAACTTTTTTTCTTCATTTTTTGACTAAAATACGCGTCCCCAGTCAAAATACATTTTTTTTTAAAAAATAAAAGCAGATTCATATTTAGCTCATTAAAAGAATACAGATTATGTAAATATTATATATTAAAGTATTTTATAACTACGCGTCCCCGGTCAAAAAACCGTTTTTTTTTAAAAATAAAAGCAGATTCATGTTTAACTCATTAAAGAATACAGAATATGTAAATATTATATATTAAAGTATTTTATAACTTAGTGATGGAAAAAACACTTTTTTTTCGAAAACACTACGCGTCCCCGGTCAAAAAACCGTTCTTTTAAAAAAATAAAAGCAGATTCATGTTTAGCTTTTCAAGGATTGTGGAAAAAAAAATTTTTTTTAAATTTTTTTTATTAATACCATTTTCTGAATCTCCTTAAAAAGCTAAACATTGCATTTATTTAAAAAAAAACAGTTTTTTGACCGGGGACGCGTAGTGTTTTTGAAAAAAAAGTGTTTTTTCAAAAAATCACTAAGTTATATAATACTTTAAAATATAATATTTACATATTCTGTATTCTTTTAATGAGCTAAATATGAATCTGTTTTGATTTTTAAAAAAAACTGTATTTTGACCGGGGACGCGTAGTTTAGCGAAAAAAAATTTTTTTTTAAAATTTTTTTATTAATACCATTTTCTGAATCTCCTTGAAAAGCTAAACATGAATCTGCTTTTATTTTTTAAAAAAAACGGTTTTTTGACCGGGGACGCGTAGTGTTTTCGAAAAAAAAGTGTTTTTTCCAAAAATCACTAAGTTATTAAATTCTTTAATTTATAATATTTACATATTCTGTATTCTTTTAATGAGCTAAATATGAATTTGATTTTTTTAAAAAAACTTTATTTTGACCGGGGACGCGTAAGGACGCGTAGTTTAGCCAAAAAAAAAATTTTTCGAAAAAATTTTTTTTTTAAATTTTTTTTATTAATACCATTTTCTGAATCTCCTTGAAAAGCTAAACATGAATCTGCTTTTATTTTAAAAAAAAACAGTTTTTTGACCGGGGACGCGTAGTGTTTTCGAAAAAAGTGTTTTTTCAAAAAATCACTAAGTTATTAAATACTTTAATATATAATATTTCCATATTCTATATTCTTTTAATGAGCTAAATATGAATCTGTTTTGATTTTTTTAAAAAAACTGTATTTTGACCGGGGACGCATAGGGACGCGTAGTTTAGCCAAAAAAATTTTTCGAATCGAAAAAATTTTTTTTTTAAATTTTTTTTATTAATACCATTTTCTGAATCTCCTTGAAAAGCTAAACATGAATCTGCTTTTATTTTAAAAAAAACGGTATTTTGACCGGGGACGCGTAGTGTTTTCGAAAAATAAAAGTGTTTTTTCCAAAAATCACTATGTTATTAAATTCTTTAATATATAATATTTACATATTCTGTATTCTTTTAATGAGCTAAATATGAATCTGTTTTGATTTTTTAAAAAAACTTTATTTTGACCGGGGACGCGTAAGGACGCGTAGTTTAGCCCAAAAAAATTTTTTTTTATTAATACCATTTTCTGAATCTCCTTGAAAAGCTAAACATGAATCTGCTTTTATTTTTTTAAAAAAACAGTTTTTTGACCGGGGACGCGTAGTGTTTTCGAAAAAAAGTGTTTTTCACTAAGTTATTAAATACTTTAATATATAATATTTACATATTCTGTATTCTTTTAATGAGCTAAATATGAATCTGTTTTGATTTTTTAAAAAAAACTTTGTTTTGACCGGGGACGCGTAGTGTTTTCGAAAAATAAAAGTGTTTTTTCCAAAAATCACTAAGTTATTAAATTCTTTAATATATAATATTTACATATTCTGTATTCTTTTAATGAGCTAAATATGAATCTGTTTTGATTTTTTAAAAAAACTTTATTTTGATTGGGGACGCGTAAGGACGCGTAGTTTAGCCAAAAAAAATTTTTTTTTTTAAATTTTTTTTATCAATACCATTTTCTGAATTTCCTTGAAAAGCTAAACATGAATCTGCTTTTATTTTTAAAAAAAAACAGTTTTTTGACCGGGGACGCGTAGTGTTTAAGAAAAAAAGTGTTTTTTCAAAAAATCACTAAGTTATTAAATACTTTAATATATAATATTTACATATTCTGTATTCTTTTAATGAGCTAAATATGAATCTGTTTTGATTTTTAAAAAAACTGTATTTTGACCGGGGACGCGTAGTTTAGCCAAAAAAAATTTTTCGAATCGAAAAAATTTTTTTTATTAATACCGTTTTCTGAATCTCCTTGAAAATCTAAACATGAATCTGCTTTTATTTTAAAAAAAACGGTTTTTTGACCGGGGACGCGTAGTGTTTTTGAAAAAAAAGTGATTTTTCTTCACTAGCTTTATTCATTTATTTTTAATGTATTATTACTTAAATTTATAAATAAAATAATTTAATAAATACAAGTCCATTCTATGCATTTCACCTGAAAATATAAAATTTATTGTTGCCTTCTAAGATGATGCTGGATTACTCCACATTTATTTGGGTAGGATCATTTACCATGGTTATTTTAGATGATAATTGTTGTATTTAAATCACTTTTAATTACAAGGCTTATTATTTAGTGCTGTATAATAACATCATATTTTTGGGGAGATGTTACTATTTGGGAAGTAATTGTAAAATAACAAAAAAAAATTTTGAGTAACAAATAAATTTTGGAAAGTAATTAATAGCAAAATTTTTTTTGAGTAACAAGTAAATTTTAAAATTTATAAGAACCTAGATATAATGCAAAATTATACATAATTTATTATATATTTTTTAAAAATTAAATATTAAATAAGATCTAATCAAATGATTATAATATAATATAAATCTTACAACCCAAATTTTATTTTCATTCACACATATATTGATGGCTACGATTATTCATCCTATGCTTCAATTAGATTGACCTTAGATAAAATTAGGAGAAAACGAAAAAATAATGCAAAAAGAGGATGATAAATTTGAATAGTATTTTTTATGTATTTTAATGAATTACCATAATTTAAATATTATTTATTAAATATAACACTATCTTTCTATCATTGGTACCAATTGAGCATATCTTTAACACTGCAAAAGCTGTGCTAAATACGAAATGTTAGGTTTTATATGTCCAGGCTCGGTTTGGCTCCAAAAAGAATTTTTGGGCACAGCCCGATTTTTTAAAAAAATATATAATATATTCTTTTAATTCTTATAGCTAATAATGGCAATATAAAATATTCAGTTTTAAAATATACGTCCCCACCCATATATTTATAAAAAATCTCAGCCCTGGGTATTTAAAAAAATTTATACTGGCTGCAGATCTCTGATAATTATAAATATTTTTAGGAAATTTATAGTTTAGTAATAACTATTAGCATCTTTGGCCTCGCCATAATATCTTCTATGTTTCGTGAAATAGTTTTCGCTATATTGTTTTCGAGATTTTAGTTTCGCGATTATTGATTTGCAATTAAAGTTTTACTGTAATGTATCCGCTTTAAAGGTTTCTGATAAGGGTTTCTATATAAAAATTGTGGTATTGTCCTCGCTGGATAGCATTCACTAATGTGGATTGGTGATAAAAGTTTCGCTATAAAATCCATTCGTGATAAACGACGTCGATAAAAGGTTAGCCATAAAAGTATTGCTGAATTGACATGGAACCATTTTAATTAATTTCGTAAATGCTTTCAAGGGATAGTCGAAAATATGAGAAACGAATGAATGTTTAAAATTGCCTATGTTATTTTTCGACAAGTTTGTTTGATGCAATTATGCAATCTTTATTGCAGTGGCATGGTTAAAAAGATTTTAAAGGTCGGGCTGGACTAATGGATCTTTAGGTTACTGAATAAGATACACTTATATTTTATTTAAAAAAATTTATTTTTTGAAAATAGTGCTTCAATTTTCTTAGAGGATCTTTATGCATCGCTAAAGCAAAATGATTACGGAAAAGGTATCTATTTTTGAATACAATTTTTTTATTAAATATATTTTAAAAATTATGAAATTATATGAATCGATTAACTTGTTTTATTAAAATTATTAGTATTCGATAGTGTTAAAAAATTACTACCCAATTTTGGGTTCAAGAAGCACAAACCTGGAACAGATCCCGAACACAAACCCGGAGCAAATCCGAGCACATTACCTGAGAACAAGCGGAGAAAACTAGCACAAACACCGAACACAGACCCTGAGCAGAAACACATTTTTTTTAAATTGTGTGTTTTCGTGATTTTAAATATTTTTATCAGCACAAAATATCAATTTGATAGGGTATCAAATAAAGGCTATTTGAACTATTTTTTAACTGAAATAAAAGTATTCATTCTTGGTCTGAATAGGTTGAAATTAGTCGGAGTGGATGGAGGGAGGTTAAAAATAAATTTCGATATGGTTATCAAATAAGTGCTAATGGTAAAATATTTTGACAGCAATACTGATCGAAGCTCTAAATGGGTGGTTCTAGGTCTTAGGGCTTCGGCAATGATTTTAATTTTTTATAGTATAGAAATTCAATATTGGTATCAATTGAAAGTTTATTAAAAAATATTTTGATTGCAATGTTACTCAATAATCATCTATGTTAATTACGCAATTCCTACTCCATTCAGTTTAGTAGATAATGAATCTTTAACATTTTACACAAATGGCCATTTTAAACTATGGTCGGCAAACGATGTTCATGAACTTGGGAAAAGTTTATGAGATGGCCTAAATGCAACTGATAAAAAAATTAGATAAATTAACAAATAAATTTCAATTATTACTTAAATATGGACATCCCATAATAGCGCATTATTTTATGCTATAACTCTGCATTATATAAATCAAGACTGGTGTATTATCAATCTTGCGTTAGATATGATATCATTCCCTCATCCACATACAGGACATGGAATATCATCCATTATATCATTAAGTGATTTCAAATTTAAAGATAATATTTTATCTATTACTAATATAAGGGCTAGCATAGTCAAGCCATAGAAGTAATGCAAATTTATTATAATTTGAATTATAAAACTGTTTTATATGGCTCATGTCCTAAATTTAATTGTTAAAGATGGGCTAATATATTTGGAGGATCAATTAATCAACATAGAAGGTATGCTTACCAAATTACACATCTCGTGCATGTTATTGCAGGTGTATACATCTATAATTGGGGCTACAAAAATACATATTCCTGTTAAAATTAGATGGAATCGCGTATATCTTATAATACTATTAATATGGTAAAAATTATTTTTATACATTTATTATTTCCCTTTTCTAATACATAAAATATTAACGCACTTTTACAACTTAATATGCTTAGTTAATTGGGGCCGTTGGCTCCTGATAACTTAAAATACTTCAAAAATTTGGAAGAATTCTATCGCCAATTTATCAAATAACTGTAGAAATAAGCTCTAAATCTTCGATAATAAGGAAGACATTATTAATCTATAATTGCTATAGTAGATAATTTAAAAAATCTATAGATAGGAAACTCAGATGCTGCTTCATTAAGAGAAGCTTCAACATTGATTAAAAAATATTTGATGAATATGGTCACTATATAATAACACCATTTAATCATGCTGCATTAGTACTTGATCCTAGCAAAAAAATACAATAATTGCAAATTTAAAAGGAGATACAGCAGTTAAAAATATGGCTATTTTCAAAGATAATTATGCAAAATACATATCGGAGTCATTTGATGATATATTAATAATAATAACAATCCATCTAATCATAAACTATTGCTCAGATTTGTTTAGTCGATTTTTAGACCTAAACTCAGAGTCAGGGTCTTATACAACCAACCATTTTACTATACTAGTATTAGATATTAATTTTTTCAAATAAAAAGCTGGTGCTATTATATGTTTTATAAAGAACGCTGACTAAAACAATTATAATTATATCAAATATTTAAAAATATTGATAACGTCAAACCAAAAACTTGAGGCCCATCCTGCTATAAAAATAATGAAATTTGTTTTTAAAAATTATGTCTTATTTTTTGTTTTAATTGCTTATTTCTATATATGAAGCACTGAATTTTATTACCGAATATTTCGAAACACCATTTATACAAACACTAGACGGTAAAATGGAGAGAAATGATCACACACAGCTATTTCGTTATGGAGCTTACAATTTAGCTATACTATATTACAAGTATTATCATTTAATATATTTATATAAAACACTACTAGATTTTAGTTCAAGCAAGGCATAAGGCTTAAAATATTCTCACTTTTTTTGAGCATAAATAATATAAAATTTAGCTTCTTTTTTTTTATCACACATATTAAGAGCTAAAATTAGTGTTGTTAATTGGTTGGTTGTGTAAAACCCAGGGTTTGGGTTTAAAAAATCGACCAAACCAGCTCTGAGCACGAACCCCGAGCACAGACCCGGGGTCCAGACCCGGGTCGTGTTGTGTTGTGACGATTTAATAAACATGTTGATAATTAAAATATTTTTTTATTGTAATAATAAAATTAATCATAGAGGGCGGGTCTAGGTCTTGGGGGGTCAGGAATATTTTTATCAACACAAGATATCGATATGGGTATCAAATAAAATCTAATTTAAATATCTTTAGATTGAAAGTATTCATTTTTTGTCTTGATGGGTATGACTTGGTCTGGGGGTGGATAAAGGGGTGGGGGGGGGGGGTAAAAAATAATTTTTTTTGATATGGGTATCAAATAAAAGGTTATTGTAATAATAATAATCACTCATAGATGGCGGGTCTAGGTCTTGAGGGGTCAGGAATATTTTTATCAACACAAAATATCGATGTGGGTATCAAATAAAAGCTAGTATAAATATCTCTTGATTGTAATAATTATACTCCAAGTAGGCGGGATATCTTAGTTAGTCAGGAATATTTATATAAACACAAAATATTGATATAGGAATCAAATATAAGGTATTTTAAATATCTTTTGAAGGGTAAAAAAATATTTTTTTAATATAGGCATTAAATAATACTAAAATATTTTTTATTGTAATAATAATTAAACTCCACAAAATATTAATATGACTAAAATAGAAGCTAATTAAAATATTTTTCTACTAAAATAACAGTATTCACTCTTGGTATCTTAATGGTAGTGTTGTTAATTGGTTGATTGTGTAAAACCCAGACCCGGGCTTTGGGTCTAAAAAATCGACCAAACCAGCTCTGAGCATGAACCTTGAGCACAAACCCGGGGTTCAGACCCGTCCCAGCAAAAGCAAAGATCATATTTTTTCTTAATCCAATTTGGTGGTTCCGTCCTTGGGGGATGATATATAGGAGGCCGGACTCTACCACGTGATTCCTTTATAATATATGTTAAATAATAAGGATCTTATTATATTTTAATAAATTTTGGTCGTTATTTAGCAAATTAGGTTGGCATTTAAAAAATTCCTATACGTTGAGTAGCATCTGTCTGAAAATTTTTTTTGCTGACATAACCAGGCCTGATCAAAAAACCAAGTCCCATGCAATTTTCATAAAATTTTGTCATTTATTTCTATTGTAATTTAACAACAGCCTTAAATTTAATTTTATATTCCATTTATTTCTATTGTAATATTTAGAATAAATTAAATTTGTAATGATAATCATATTGGGTGAAAAGAATAATAGGCTCAGCTCAGAGTGGAAAATCCTATGAGGTTGGAAAATAGGAATTTCAATATTTCTATCTGCTGTATTTGTCGAGGGAAGGTTTGAGAAATTTTTTTTAAAATTATAATGGGTCGGAATGGGCTTGGAAAATATTTTTATAAATTATGTTGGGCTAGGCTTAGGGAAATTTTTCAAAATTATTATAAGCTTGAATGCTTGGGAATTTTTTTATTATTAACTATGGATCAGACATTGACCTAAAACAAAATTTTCTGCAGGCCTGGGCTCGGCTTTATCAAAAAACTAAGGCCCATAAAATCTGATTTTGATTTTATTTTAAAATTCTTTATGTTTTTTTAAAATATTTTATTCCAGTTCTCAACTATCAAAATTCTTATGATTTTTGGTTGGGCTTGGGAAATTTTTTTTAAAATTAATATGGCCTTAGACTTTGCTTGGGAATTTTTTTAATATTAAATATTAGGCATAGGTGATCAGTAATATTTTAACAAATAATATTGATATAGGTATCATCAGTATAAGCTTTAAATATATTTTGACTCAGAACATAATTTACACTTAGTTATAATGGATTGAACCTGCCCTGAAGGGGGGAGGGGATTATAATGAATAAAAATTGGATATTATTTTCAAATATCCGGTAACAACTATTATAAAAGTAAGGAGAAAATTCTCATTCCCCGTTATTTTTGACGATCTCAGCAATGCTGATAGATAAATCAGAAATTAAGAATATCTTATTAGGTGTACCTCATTTTCTCTTAAATTTTAATATTTTTATAAAATATATTAATAAAGTATATTTAGTATCATATAATAAAAAATAACTAATTAGTATTAGCTAGTAATTAATAAACATCTAAAATATAAAAAAAACGCATGTGAGATGTGATTAGAGTTGTTAAACGCTACTTTTAAAAGTAGCACGCATCCGCTATCGCTATTTGTCAAAAAAAGTACGCCATTAAAGCTACTTTTTATAAAAAAAAATTACAAACAATTGCTTATAATGTTATTGTATAAAAAATATATAAAAATCAACATTAAATATTAAAATATTGTTAGTTTTGATTATAAAAAAATTTATTATAATTTGTACCTTTAATAATAAAATCATTTCAATATTATCATCCCCAAGTCTAGTGGGACGATCAGAAAGTATAAGTTTTGCCTTATTAAATAATCTCTCGACATTAGCACTTGAGGGTAAGGGCGTATTTAATCTTATATACATATTTTTAATATAAGATAGATTATCAATAATTTTATTTGCAAGTACATCGTATGTCTGGCATCCTATTATAATTTTGAGGGCTAATGCCACAGATCTTCTTTTTAAAGTCTTAGGGTCTAGCCAATGGCCTGTGATTCCCAAATAGGCTCAAAAATATTTAATCAGATCAATTTATAAATATAAATAAGTTTTTACCTTCAGTTATGTGTCCAACTATCTGCCGTGGTACATATATATGATATCTCTGATAACTCTACTATTAGAGCATCTTTCATCATTTTAAAGTTATCTGCTATTTTATTCATTAGTGTCTGACGGCATAAAATTGTTGTACTAGGGGATAGAGTTTTAATCATCATGGTAAATGATGGATTATCAACCAAAGACATTGGCTGAACTGTATAAATTATTATAACAATAACTTTATCAGCCAATTTCTGAGAAATATTGTCATTCGTATTATTAATTAATTTGGTTACAATTGAATTAATCTTTATGGATGTAGAGTCGCCTATACCAAAATTAATTAGATGTTTCTCCATTCCCTTAAAACTCATGAACAGTCTTATAAAATAAATATTATAAGAATGTAAAAATGACAATTTACCTTTAGGTGTTTCTTGAGGTTATAGCTACTGGATTGATTTGAGGAAATATTTTTTTTTTGCATTTTAAACAAATAAATTTGAAGCCAGTTTTGGATTATATATTTATTTAAAAAAAATTTCAAATCTAGGGAATGGGAAATTTGTATTATAGCTATTAAGAATTCCCTGGTATCTTCCATTTCATTAATATCATTGTCTGAATCACTTTCAACTATTTGGATATCCATAGGCGATGACATTTTAAATTATTAACACGTGATTTAGGTTTATAATACAAATGAAAATATAAATTACAAATTGAAAATATATTTCAATTTCAAAATTAAATAATAAATCATAAAAATTATAATTAATTAGGATATTATATTTAAATTTTCATATTTATACTTACCTTCATTATATTTTTTAAAAGTAGCTAATTCAAAAAAAGTAGCCTAAAAAATTAAATAATTACAAAAAAGTAGCCGCTATTAGCTATAGGTACCAAAAATTTAGCGCGCTACTTTAACAACTCTGGGTGTGACTTTGATATTTTCAACACAAATTATAAATTTACAACATAAATCTCTTTATATTATTTATACATGAATCTTTATTTTATTTAATTTCAATATGTGATAAATTAAAATAAAATCTTATTTTGTTTACCTTCTTTTATTTTATATTTAAAAATAATAAATACTCGTTGCGTTCCGTTTCACTTCATTCACTGTAATCGTAAATTATGAGGGGGGGGGATTTGTTTATAAAAAATATTCAATATAATAATTTTTACCTTGACTTGTTCACTTCTATTTTCCTCTAATTAATATATTTGAGAATTAAAAATTAAAAATGAATGGCGTAAATGAATATAATTACAACACTCACTAGATTATTATATAATATTAAGTATAATTATTATGTTTTAAGTATTTTTTTGGTTTAATTTTTATATTCTGTTTCAGTTTTAATATGGTTATATATATATAATAAGAAAAGCGATGATGATGTTATTTACGATTACGAATATTTTTTTGATATTAGGATAAGAGTTTGAACATTATAATTAAAAACCAATGTGTTTTTAAAAATTTTTTGAAAAGCTTCCTTTTTCGAAATTTAAAAAAAAAGGGAAAAAAATAATTATAACTTTTTCCAACGAATGTTGCAATAATACATTAGAAATCGGGCTGGGCCCATTTTTTAAAAAAAAATTAGCTTCGGGCTGGGTCAAATATCTTTAAATAAAATTTCGGCCAGGTCGGGTTGAGCCATGGAAATATTTTAAAACATATCTAAATTTATCAATTTTATGTTGAATTTTTTATGTAAAATAAAAATATTTGATTATATTTATAGAAACTAAAGACACCACGCCACGCGTTAATATCACATCTACATTTTAGATTTTAAAATCATGCGCAAATATATAATTATTTTTTTTATCACATAAGAAAACATGCAATTTTATTCAAAAAATTATCTACAGATACTTAATTATTAAAAAAACCGAAAATAAAAATTATTTTTTAATTAAGTATATTATGAAATAATCGTCCTCTTGTTCGTGAAATTAAACAAATCCCAGTTCGTATCTAATTTTAACTAGGATCAGGATGGTATAGCTGTAAATAATCTCTCAGTTAACCTAGATAATAATTTATTTTAATCCTATTTGGTATTTATAAGCCCTAAGTGGTCCCGATTAAAAAATTTTTAACCATAAGCTTAGTTGCTTGCAGGATTTTACTATCTAAGTTCGATATTATTGATAAATATTTTTTATTTATAATATTTGAAACAACATTATTCATCTGGACCCCGGGTCTGTGCTCAAGGTTCATGCTCAGAGCTTGGTCGATTTTTTAGACCCAAACCCCGAGTCTGGGTTTTACACAACCAACCAATTAACAACACTACCATTAAGAGACCAAGAGAGAATACTTTTATTTTAGTAGAAAATTATTTTAATTGGCTTGTATTTTATAGTCATATTAATATTTTGTGTTGATAAAAAATTTCCTGGCCCTCCAAGACCTAGAGCCTATTTAGAGTTTGATTATTATTACAATAAAAAATATTTTAACCTATTATTTAATGCCCATAAAAAATATTTTTTTACCCTCCAAAAAATATTTAAAATACCTTTTATTTGATTCCTATAATTGGCTTCTATTCTATAGTCATACTAATATTTTGTGTTGGTAAAAAATTTCCTGGCCCTCCAAAACCTATAGCCTATTTAGAGTTTGATTATTATTACAATAAAAAATATTTTAGTAACCTATTATTTAATGCCCATATTAAAAAAATATTTTTTTACCCTCCAAAAAATATTTAAAATACCTTTTATTTGAATCCTATATTTATATTTTGTGTTTATATAAATATTCTTACTAACTAAGACATTCCACCTACTTAGAGTATAATTATTACAATCAAGAGATATTTATACTAGCTTTTATTTGATACCCACATCGATATTTTGTGTTGATAAAAATATTCTGACCCAAGACCTAGACCCGCCATCTATGAGTGATTATTATTATTACAATAAAAAAATATTTCCTTTACCTTTTATTTGATAACCATATCAAAAATAATTATTTTTTACACCCACCCCCTTTATTCACCTCCCAGACCAAGTCATACCCATCAAGACTAAAAATGAATACTTTCAATTTAGATATTTAATTTAGATTTTATTTGATACCCATATCCATATCACCACGGGTCTGAACTCTGAATCCCTATTCGGCCTGAGCACATAAAAGGGTCGTAAATTTTACGACCAAGCAAATTAACAACACTAGCTAAAATGTTAGAATATTATAAATTTTGTGTTGCATATATCTTTATTACATTTAAAATTATCAAATCCATCTAACTATCAAATATATTCCTATAACATTTATAATTACTATCGAATAATTTATTCCATAATATAATAAAATGTCTTTGAAAATCAAACAAAGACAATTAAAAGTCCATTTTTCTTATAAAAAATATATTGAAAAACGTCCATAAATGTCAATTACAAATTGAGAGATACAACAAAACTGGCATGAACACATAAAATATAATTTGTGCATATATATATATAATCTAAGTAAATGTCTATATAAATATAGAAATGATCTAAAAAATATAAAAATTATTTTTATTTATTTCCTTTGAATTTTCTTTTTCTGTTCCATTAAGTTCCATACTTTTTTCTTAACTATACCTAATAGTTGTCATGGTGCAGTTGATTGCTATTAAATTTTAAGGGTTAGAGGATCATGGTTTGATTGATATTGTACTATTGGTTGTCATCAAATTTTAACGATTAGTGGGTTATAGTTTGATTGATCCAGAGCATCATTGGTCAGTCATTCATGATCATTCTACTTAGGCTTGGTGTCATTAATCTAGCATCATTGTAGTTGATTGGACAGAATATTTACAATAAGTGTCAGTCAAATATGTTTTTTTTAAATATCCTTTTAACATTTTAGATACACTTCCTTATAAGTCATAAACATAAATTTCAGATATTAAACACAAAATTTTTGATTACAATATTCACATGAGGCCTTGACTACTTCCTTCTTTCCTTGTGTCTAAAATAATATCAAATGGTCAATTCCCTTCATTATATAACCTCCAAAATGTAAAAAGAAAAGATATTCTAATATTACTACCCCCCCCCCCCCCCATTACTCTTTACATATATAAATCCACATTTACACATATAAAATCAAAAATATTTTATTAATTTACCTTTCCATATATACATTATAACTCATGTATATATAAACTTTAACATTATTCTTCTTTTTAAAAACTTGAACTATTTCTTTACTTATTTTAAATCCTAACTTTCATATCTAGCCACTTATTTCAACACATTATTCTTTATGCCAATTCTTCATTTTTATTTAACATAATCCAAATTTCAATTTCATTTAACATTAGCAAAATGTTTCATATCTATAATATTCATTTCATCTTTTTTTTAAAAAAATATCTATATTATCACAATCCTTTTTTTCTTCACATTATTTTTCAAAAATTCTTGCTAATTATAATCCCAAAATTTTAATATTAAGCAATCTTTTCTGTCCTGCATTACTTGAGGTCTTAATTTCCTATGATGGATACCTATACTCTATTCAATGTGTCTTAAGGCTTACAAAATAAAACTTATTTAAAACACTGGGCTTAAAAAAAATCAAAACATATAATACATAAGCTACTTATCAAAACATATTAAATTAAAACTTTTATTACCACCACTATATCCAATGGTTCCCAGAAAAATTTTTCAAAAGTAAACTTTTATAATAGTAATATATAATGGTTCCTCCATTTATATCATCAACCTTTAAAAGTAAACATCACAGTAATAAAATAATGGTTCCTCTATTCATATATTACCAATTTATAAAATAAACCTAAAACAAAAAAAAACTCTTAACCCATATTTTACTTTTTATCACTTTTTTAATTTTCTCAATTAAGACAATTGAATCCTTTTAAACCCATACCCTACTTTCTTTCTTATCTTTTCATTTGCTCAATATCTTACTATTGTAAAATATTAAAAAAAATTTTTACAAAATCATTTTATTGAATTTCACCCCTCTTATTTCTTTTTAAATAAGAACAAATTTCTTTATACTTTTCATAATTAACTTTACTTTTATATCTGTATATTTTCAAAATTTAATTCTTTTAACTACATGAATTATTAACATAAATAAAATATTACTCATTTATATATTCAAAATTTTAACTTATAAACATCAAAACACCTTAACCCGTGACTTCTATACTTTTAATCATTCGCTATGTGCTTAACCTCAACCTTTTAAATGCTTCATCTAAACTTCATGTTTGAGAATACATTCATTTTAACACATTATTTTTATATATTCTTTCATTTTAATCAATATAATTTCTAAAAAAAATCAATTAATTTATAAATTTTTATTTACCTAATTTAATTCTATTAATATTTTATGATTTAAATTAATGCATTTCTTATACCCAAAAATTTCTCCTTTCCAAACATATTCCATTTAAACTTGTCTTTTTCCTCTCTTCCCCCCATCTATTCCAATTTTTATCTATTTCTTATTTTTAATTTTATACATTTCATACAAATACAAATCTTTTACCTCTTTATTTTGGCTGTGTATAATGGTTTTTCAATGTATTGCATCTTCCTGCTATTATCTCATCTTATAATTTAAAAAACAGCACCAAACTGTTGCATATATTTTTATTATATTTAAAATTAATAATTACCGTCGAATAAATTCTATAATATAACAAAATATTTTTGAAAATCAATCAGTTAGATTTTTGAAAATTGACATAATATAAATTTTAAAGTAAATTGTAAGATAAATTTGAATTTTGAAATAGAAAAAAATGGGGAAAAAATAAGCAGACGATACTTGGAAAATTGAAAAAGCAAAAAGCAGACAAGAGAAATGATGAATAATAAAATATCCATGAAATTGAGTTTTAAGAGAGGATTAAAGTTAAATTTTGTTTAAGAAAGAAGTTGTAATTATATTAAATGTTGATTTATATTATTTTGTTTAAATTAAGTTAATAAGATTAATATATAAAAAAAATAAATTGTTAAAGGAAATAAATAATTGAAATAAAAGATATATAAATGATTTATAATGGTACTTGCTAAACTTTATAGTAGCTTAGGTAAAGAATTGGAGAAGATAAGAAAGAATTAAGTTATGATGAATTGATTGAGATAAATTAGTAAATAAAGAAGAGAATTTATTTCTTTGAATCTAGAAAAAATAAAAAAATTAATGAATAAAAGTAATAACTTGACAGAGATATATTATGGGTTATGTATAATCCTCAGCAATTGAAAAAAAGAGTCTCATTACTCTCCCAAAAATCTTTCATACATTTGAAAGAATTTACTAGAGTTTTGATTCAGAAGAGTAGAAATCAGGCTAGCTAATAAAAAAGAATTTTAAATTTAATTGTATTATATAGAAATATTTCTAATTTGACAGCCTCATTCAAATCTTTTAAAAGTATATTTAAATTAATAATGCGAGATTTTAAAAATATCTATGAGATTTTGAAATATTCAATGAATATACCATAGATAAATTCCTTTTTGAAAATCAAACAAAGACAATTAAAAATTCATCTTTTTCTTATAAAAAATATATTGAAATACGTCCATAAATGTCGATTACAAATTGACAGATACAACATTTTGTATGAGCTTAAAATAAAATTTTAATTCCTTTTTAAATAGAAATAAAAATTACGCCTAATTTAGGTGTTACTTTGAAATCTTATTATGTTTTTATTTTCATGAAGTATAAAATAATAATTTAGAATGCAAAATAAGGAAAAAATTCAAAATCACTTGGTGGAATCCCTCCGTATTATATACACGATAAAAGACGAGAATCTCTTGAACCATTGCTTGAATTTGTTGCAACTCACTATACTACACTTCCAAGTCCTGAAAAATGAAACCTGTCCGGATGTTAACAAGATATTGACCGATTTTTTTTTCATCTTTGATGAGTTGAACGAAAAACAAATGAACAATTCCCCTCTTTTGTTGCAAGACGCAAGAAATTTCGATAAAAACCTTTTTACAAAAAGTTCTTTATTCACATTAAGTTGTTTTATGATGGAAACAGGCACCCTGCCCAGTATTATAACTGCTCTGCTAATAAAGTTAGCATAATTAATTATTCAATATTCAAACATAATCATTTAAATTTTTGGAATTTATTTGCACATTATTTTTATATGGCAGTGCAAAATTTCCCAAAGTTGGCTTACCTAGAAACATTTTAAAACTATTAACTAATATAAGACTTGTATTATCTAAAAGTTAATTAATTTAGTTCCTCCAAATTAGTATTCGAATTTTATATTTAAAAAAAAATAATTAATTGACAAGCTTAAGAGTTGCTATACACCACAATGGTATTTTTCATAATTTAATACTGATAAAATATATTTTTGAAAAAAATTAACTTAAATTTAGCCTGAGACAAAGTAATGACAACATAAACGTAGAAGAAATTTATACTGAGCCTGGAAATTTGAATCGAAATATTTTAAATATGCAGTTGTTTACCTCCCATTTGATGATATCGTCTTATTTAATGCTGTGTGGTGCATCCATTTATGTTAGGGAAACTTTGACTTATCAATTGCACTATAATTTTGAACTTTACGAAAACAAATATTTGGATTCTAAATTGGGATATTTATACGTTGCCAATACCTTACATCAAAATGTAAATTAGGCTAAATTTTTTGTGGTTCATCGCTTTATTATTTTATAAGGTTCTAACTTTATTATGAAAATAACATATTATCTTATGAGGGTAATTAATTTTGAGCTTTTTTAAAATGTAAACGCTTTAATGAAATTCCTAATTCTTTGCATTTTAAGTTGACCAAAAATGGAGTTAGACCCTTATAATAATCACTAGCGAATAAATTCTATATTATATCCTATAATAAAATCGAATAATTTATTGTGAATAATAAAATTAATAATTATGATTTCTAGATATGGTAAATATTTATAATATAGGGAAATTATTCATCGCGAAATGTGGTTTTGCAATTTTTATTAAATGAAAATAATTTTGATATGGAATTCGAAAATACATTACATAATTACGATTCATGTACCGAGATTTATATATCTTGCGTAGAAATGCTTTTAGAAGAATATATAGACTCAAAAAAGAATTCGCTGGATCCATTTGCAAATAATAAGATCGGAATGATAAGTGATTTGACAAATGATTTATTCTACTACGATAACCATGTTGCAAATTATTGGTATGGACCACAATTATAAATAAATATATTTAATTTTATGTTTCTAGAAAAATGATATTAATATTAAAGAAAGCTTATTATAATTTTTTAATATATTCATTCACAAAAGAAAAACCTTTTAATTTAATAAATATTAGTTTAAAAAATAAAAATAGGAAAAAAACAATTCTTATATAATAATTTTTAAGAATATACCAATTTTTGGTCTTATCTCATATTAACTTCGTAAAGTTTCAAAAACAAAATCTTGTAAAAATAAAATATACATATGCAATTAACAATTAATTTTTAATCTAAACCGCCATAAATAAAATAATATAAACAATTAATTTTATACAATTTATATTTAAAAACAAATAAATTGATTGTCTTCTCCGTAACCTTTTTGTCCCTTGGGCTGGAATCTACTATGGATCTTGAAAATCTCAGACCCTCAAATTTTCTTAAAGGCCTATCCCCCTCAAAAATATAGCAAACTATTCCCCCCCCCCCGCTGCTTACTATATTAAATTTATTTTTTGATAAAAGGTACGCTTATTTTTGCATGGACGTTTTAAGTGACTTTGAAAGAGCATTTCTCATATTATCTCGATATACATACGATGCACTTACTTCAAAAAATCATGGACGCTTAACTAATTATCAATATCAATATTTAAGAGTCAAGTACTATTGACATCTTTATTTAGCTTTCGTGATAATATAAAAATATGCTTATATCAATCTTCTATATAATCGTTAAAAATAAATTTAGATTTAACACGAATTCTTCATGGATAAACTTATATAAACTACTAACACCCGTAGTAGTATATATTTTTAAAATTTATCTCAATTTTATTTAATCCCTTCTTTTTATGTTTTATTATTACCTTAATTTACTCTTGTATTTTATTTATACAGATGTTTATTATTACTTTCAAACTTATATACTGAAATCGAACAACCATATAAAGCAATATCGATTATTAACATGGCATTAAATATATGCTCAAAATTTCATTTTTACTTGTTGAAATCGTTTCTAATAATGAATTTGGCCAACGTGAAGGTTAATTGATTAAATATATTACGAAACATAAATTAATATTATTTTGAATATATCGAGAAAGGGAGCATATTTGGTAAGAGTATTATTAAAATTTAAAAGGTATTTTTTTCTGTTAAAGATCTGCATTCCCGTAATTTTTTTTCATTGTCCGAACTAAAATTATTTTCAAAAATTAGACTTGCCTAAGATCAAAGTAAATTCGGACCCCAAGGGGGGGGGATCGGGTTGGGCCTTTGTAGATTACTAATTTCTAGTGTATCAGATCTATGAATCAATGATGTAAGAAATTATGATTGAATATAATCATTTATTTGATAAAAAATTGAATATTATGGTTTATCAAATTTATTCAAATTATATATTTCAATCTAGTTTAAATTCATAATTTTCTAATTAAATTATTTGATTAAACTCGCGATAATTTTTTATTTATAAATGTAGAAAAACATAGGTGACTGGCACAACTCCAAGCTAGCTCTAAGCATTTCACACCCAGCTTTGCAATATATCTTATCGAATTGCTCAAATGCCCGAGATTTACAGAATGCTAAAATTTTATACAGAGATATATATAACCATTATCTATCAATGGGTCATAATTTATCAACATTTTAAGTGCAAATATTCGAAAAATATATGTAATATAAATATATTCTGCCGTCGAAATTTTAGTGTATGTTAAAAAAATGCTCTGCTAGAGCTAGATATATATTGAATTTGTTTTGAGATAGTGTTATTAATTATTTTTTAAAAATCAAAAGATGATTTGATAATAAATTGTCATGCAAATAAGTAAAAAAAAATTAAATCGTATTGCCAATGAAAATTAACAATCTATCTTTCCTCATATCCGTCTGTCTACGTAAGGAATTGGGATTTTTTTATATCTTTTTAAAAAAAATACTACAATATTTTAATCTCTGATTTTGGAAAATCCATATAAAAGGAGAGATGCATCAATAGAACTTTTGACACTATGTCATCCAATACCACTGTTGTGAAGATCACTGTCTGGTCTTTGGTCAGGACCGAAGCATTCGGACCGAACTAAGATCCTTTAAAAAGTCGATCCAGGCCGCGTTCCTGAATAAAAAGGCTAGTCTTTTTTTTTAAATATTTTCGTTTTTACCTAATTTAATTCTTGTTTATTGGGACTATAAATAAAATGCTTTTGATAACTTATGGTTTTCATATTGAAAAATAAAAATGAACTAAAAATTCACAAAAACTTAACTCCTCTAGAAAATAAATACAAAAATCAAAATCATATAATTTGAAGATTAAAGCAAACTTAAATAATAATTGAAATAAAATAAGGTAATTTATCATTATTAACATAATTTTAATTTATAAAAGTTAAATAAATAATAAAAAAATTAGGACTTCTTTTCTTATTGCCGTAGGAATTTGTAATGATTTTTTTATATAAAGACAGCCTACAATTAATGAAGATCATTTTTGAGTACATGTTTGAATCAATAAGCAAATATTTAATCACATTAAAAAACAATTTAAATTATATAAGTTAAATCGAATTAAATAAAGCAATTGTGCGCAAAAATATGAGAGATATTCCAACTACGCTACTAATGTGTTGATATTTTATGTGTTTTTTGAATATCTGAAAGTTTTAAGCTTCTTGTTTTGTTATAATCATTCATACGTGTTTCGATAAGAGGGCGAAAATGGCGAATTAATCCCTATAAAATATCAAATTAAAATTTATATCGCAATATATAATTTATACTCAAATAGTATTTTTAGTTATCAGAGAAGGCTAGTAATTTAAATAGGAATTAGTGATCTGCATCAGGCCTAATTTTTCAAGCCCGGCCCGAACCCGAAATTTTTTTAAAAAGTTTTGTGGGCCCAGCCTAAACCCGAAATTTATTTTAAAAAAATTTACCAGCCTGGTCCGAATTTATTTAAATATAGAAATTAATTTTTATAATTACTCAAAATAAAAGACATATGTTATATGGCGTTTAGTTTTAAATTAAATCAAATTTTTATTTTACATAAAAAATTCAATATAAAATTGATAAATTTCGATATATTTAAAAAATTTCCAAGGTCCGACCAGGCCTAAAATCTTTTTAAAAATATTAGGCTTGGCCCGAACCCGATTACTTTAAATAAAACGGGCCGGGCCTAACTTTGCTGATCTCTAATAGGAATAATTACCTTTGCCTATTTTATTTGTGAAATATTTTGTTATGAACAATTGATTTACCTATTAGTTAAATTCACTGTAAAATACAAATGTTTACTAAGATATCTTTTCTAAAAAATGATATAGGATGTGCATATGTCATAGGATATACTGAAATCTTTAGTATTTAAATTATATAGAATTTTTAAGAACGATTTTGGCGGAATAATTATTACAACGTGCTAGTGCCTATGCCAACTCTAGTTCGGGTTATTGGAAAATAAATTTAAATTGTAGATAAAGAAAATAATAAAATAAAATCTTTAAAAATGAGGGCTAAAATGATGCAAATGTTTTCCAGTATACCCTCCAAAAGTATACACATCAGGGGCTTCGATATAAAATCAATTGTGAATCCTGATTAGGTGTCATGAAGCAATTGCATGCTGAGGTAAAAAATTATGTATATGAAAGTTTTCAATCAAAATTCATAATTCTCTAATTAAATTATTAGTTATTTGATAAAAAGGAGATGTAAATAAAAAATCACAATATTTACCCCCTGGTTTTAAATAAATTTTTTGCCGGATTTAAAAATAAATTTTAATTTGATTTATTTATTTCTCAATAGATTTTTATATTAATCTAATTTTGTTATTAAAATAAGCATAATTATTGTGTAATCCTCCATGAATGATAAAAGTGATTTAAATGGTGAAGAAAAATACCTGAACTGGCCAAGCGGCTCCATCAGCCAAAGCACATATAGTATGGCCTTCCATTTGTTTGCTCAATTCCCAAAGCATGTTAATTTCGGAAGGTTTCGCATTACCCTGAACAAACCTGTACATTATTTTCATCATCCAGCCACAGCCTTCTCTACAAGGAGTGCACTAAAAATGTTCAAAAAATAACATTTTCAATAATATGTTATAAAATATCTTCAGCTAGGTTTTCTAAACACCTCATTTATCAAAATACAATATATATTACCAATAGGGATGTAGTGTTGTTAAATGATATAACCCAGAACGGTTTAGTCAAAACCTCGAGGTTCAAGCCATTTTCTTTGAGGTTAATTTGACTTTTGAAGCCAATTTTTAGAGCTTAACCTCTACTTATTTGTCTATGTCACTATATTAATATATTTCTATAAGTATAATAGTTTCAAAAATTTTATTTCCTAAACACCTATTTTGTACAATTAAGGTACACTTATAAAATATAATATATGTTTATTGGATAAAAAGATCTTTTAAAATATAAAACTAAATAAAAGACACATGTAAATCAAACTATGATTTGTAGATATACTAATTAAATTCAAAATGATAAATATTTCCAAATCAGACTCAACCCTATAGATAAAAAGGACATGTTTTCAAAAATATTTAATAAAAATTAGAATTATGATTTTACTTAGGAACGGGAAGAAGGTTAAATTGAGAAACAGAAATCCTCTTAAAATAATTACTAAAATTAAACTCTTCTTTTTATTTAATTTCCACAGGAAATGGTTTTAATAAAAATAGAACAAATTTATCAAGTATACTGTTCAAAAAATTTAAAATTTCGTTATTTTGATACTTTTAGCTGTATTTTGAAAATTATTTCCAAGAGTAATTGAAAATATGATCAGTATATGAATTAGTGATCACACCGGGCCTAATTCCCAGGTCCGGCCCGAATTTTTTTTTAAAAAATTTGTCCGGCCCGATTTGTACGAACATTTTTTATTTGTCTCGAAAAACCCGATCCGAAATAAAAATTATTTGTACCCCCGGAATACCCGAATATTTAAATATAGAAAAATGTAATTTTTTTTATTGTAAAATAAAATATTCTGCAAATAAAAAATTTTCGCGTTTTGTTTCTTGCAAGAATTTTAAAATATAACATTTGACAAAATTAAATATCATATTTTTGTTTTAAAAGTCCAATACTAATATAAAATTATAATGTTTATAATTTGACTAATATAAAATATTATTGTTCTTACTTGATACCTTTTTTCTTATTCTTTAACTTTTTCTTTTTTGTTTTCAAAATATGGCTTTCTTTTATTTTATTTTCTTACCAATCTCAAATAATTTTTTAACACAAGATAAAAAAATGAATTAATTTATTTATTTTTCTTTTTTTTCGATTGTATATATTTCTACAAAACAAATAATATAATAATAAATAAACAAAAACAATTATCAATTTTTTTTCTTCTAATATTATTTTTTTTTTCCTTTTCCTCGACAATATAATAATAAATAATATCTAAACAAAATAATTATCGATTTTTTTTACTATTATTATTTTTTTTTATAACTATTACATCTATTATAATTTTCTACAATTAAATATTCGACCCGGCTATAACACGACCTTCATCACGCTAGCATTCCTCCGCTCCCTCCGGATCGGTCCCCAATAGGGACTCCAATTCACCATTGCTCACCTGGCACTCCAACCAATCTAAAAACTCCGGGGTCAAATATTCTCCCAATCTTCTCGTTTCTTCCTGATCGGCCTCCGCCTCCTCCGCTGCACTCTCCTCTCCTCCTCCCGGCTCGTTGCTTTCACCTCGCTCTTCATAGTCTTGATTGATCTCCTTCTCACTCCAGCCCCCCCCCCCCCCCACACACATTGTCATCGTCTTTCCGCCACTCGATCTCGCTCACGCGCACAGTTGTCTCCCCCATCGTTTTATCATCCCAAATGGCTTGCTCCCACGTCCGTCCCAAGCCAGCCAAATGAGGACACTGGTTAGCGAGGTTCCCCCTCCTGCGACAGCAGAAATATCTTCGTCTTTCTATTCGTACCGGCGCTCTCTGCCCAAATACCACCATTCTCGCCCAACAATCCCCATAGATACTGCATGCACTATTCATTAATATTGGTAAGTGTATATATATATTACATTCCTGTCCCGGTTTCCCTATTTCCCCTGTCCTGTAACACAGTCCATATTTTATTTCTAAACTAGCTTACTTATGTAATAAATCACTTAATGCATATGACCCCCATACCCTACTTTATTCGACAGGAATTTCTCTAAATTATTTCTAAACTAGCTTACTTATGTAATAAATCACTTGTAAAATCATTTAATACATTGTCCCCATACCCTTAATTATTTTACGAAAAATTCCATTGAATTCCATTTAAATATTCCAATAAAAACTCCCTTTAATTTTCAAAGAAATTTCAAGACATTTAATTATTTCAACACAAATTTCCATTAATTTCATTTCATTATTTTAATAAAAACTCCCTTTAATTTCCAATGAAAAATATATAACGCAAGACATTTAATTCTTTCAACAAAAATTTCCATTTCATTTTATTATTTTAATAAACACTCCCTTTAATTTCCAAAGAACAATATATAACGCAAGACACTTAATTATTTCTCTTTTACCTTGTTCCTTTTTTTACGAATACGACTTGCTTGAAGATTTTTTTTAAGTATGGGAGTCATATGTATTAAGTGATTTATTACATAAGTAAGCTAGTTTAGAAATAAAATATGGACTGTGTTACAGGACAGGGGAAATATGGAAACCGGGACAGGAATGTAGTATATATATATATACACTTACCAATATTAATGAATAGGGCATGCAGTATCTATGGGTGTTTGGGGATTTTGAAGTGTATGTCACGGTGAGACCCAACAGGAGACCGGATTGTTGGGCGAGAATGGAGGTATTTGGGCAGGGAGCGCCGGTACGAATAGAAAAACGAAGATGTAACTGCTGTCGCAGGAGAGGGCACCTCGCTAACCAGTGTCCTCATTTGGTTGGCTTGGGACGGACGTGGGAGCAAGCCATTTGGGATAATGAAATAGCGGGGGACAACGTGGGAGACAGCTGTGCGCGTGAGCGAGATCGAGTGGCGGAAAGACGATGGCAACGTGGGGGGGGGGAGGGGGAGTGAAGGGGAGATCAATCAAGGCGATGAAGAAGTCTATGAAGAGCGAGGTCCTAGAAGCAATGAGCCGGGAGGAGGAGAGGAGAGTGCAGCGGAGGAGGCGGAGGCCGATCAGGAAGAAACGAGAAGATTAGGGGAATATTTGACCCCGGAGTTTTTAGATTGATTGGAGTGCCAGGGGGACCGATCCGGAGGGAGCGGAGGAATGCTAGCGTGATGGAGGGCGTGTTATAGCCGGGTCGAATATTTAATTGTAGAAAATTATAGTAGATGTAATAGTTATTGAAAAAAATAATAACAGTAAAAAAAAATCGGTGGGTCTATTTATCGCTCGGCTGAAAATATCGCTCGGCTAGTAAATGTCGCTCGACAAACCACATGATAAATTATTTATTACTAAATATCGCTTGACTGGGAAATATCGCTCGGCTAACCACATAATAAATCATTTATTACTAAATATCGCTCGGCTAGTAAATATCGCTCGATTGGGAAATGTGGCTCGGTTAACCACATAATAAATCATTTATTATTTAAATTACGCTCGGCTAATTACATAATAAATTTTTTATTACTAAATATCGCTCGGCTTATATTTATGTATTAAATTTCCAAACATTTTCCAGTGGGTTTTCACTTTCCTAATATTAATTGAAATTAGTTTATAAATAAGATAAAGGTTTGGACAGGTGTAAAAAATTATCTATTAGATATTTTAGCTTCAATACTTTTATAAAATTAAAATTGCTCATAACATTTTTTATTTATTAAAGTAAAAGAAATAATATTCCATCCGCTAGATGGCGTCTTTAAATTTTTTAATATAAAATTTAAAAAAAATATTTTTAAATGTGTTTAATAAATTTCGCCATATTCTATCATGATGACTAAAATATTTATGATTTTTTTTATAGCATTATCTATATTTTGGTAAAAAATTAGTAGTCTTTTTTAAATTTTGCAATTTTTATTAATCAGATAAATTAATAACGATGGTAATTCATTCATTCATATATAAATCATAATTATTTTTACCAAATTGATATATAATGTTATTATAATATAATTATTGCGTTCATAAAATATAATTTGTTCGGCAGAGAAGATTTAAATATACATTTAGGATAATAAAATTATATATATTGATGAAATAGATTATGAGCAGGGGAAAATTGGGGAAAAATAAGGAATTAAAATTTATAAAAAATATTTTATCGAGTCCTTTCTGCTTTAATTCTACGTCGCTGATGTGGTTTTCTTGAGCCTTTTGGTTTTAAAACAGATAAAGTTTTATCTAATGAATGTAATTTATCTTTGCTTTGACTATTAAGTAAATTATTTAATGTATCATGACAATCTATCGATTCGGGTATTAAATAATTGCGATATTCATTATTTAAAAAATATTCTCCTTTTCCTGAGAAGGATCTTTTAAATTCTTTTTCTTGTAACATTGTGATATCCTTAATTTTTTCGATTAATTCTTTTAAAGGACGTTGTTTCCAGTTTATATATAATTTTAAAACATGGTTCATAGATTCGCAGTTGTTATTTGTCCATAAACAATTTATTATTTTATTTTTTAGGGGAATGTAAACATGTTCATAAATTACTTTTTGAAATTTATTTTTTATATATAGCAAAAAAATATTTAAATTTTCATTATTACAATAATTGTATAAATCGTTTAATTTTTCATTATATATTTGGTCATTCCGAGAAAATAAAATCCCATTAAAAGAAAAAATATCCTGTATAATTTTTTTAGACATAACAGCATTTACACCTTGTTTTTCCGACAAATATTTTCTTATAGTCTTTTAAATGACGTGTGCATATTAAATGAGTATTAAATTTAAATATTTCCTGAATAGGTTTTACTATAGCCTTTTCTTGGTCACTACCAAATATGATATTTTTAATATTTATTTTATTTTTTAAAAATACAGAATGCAAATGAGAGAAAAAA